TTACTTAATATTAGTGAAAATCTTTGCTAGTGTTTAGAAAAAGCATATTTTGCTGAATTTTAGAAATATTTAGTTGTTTAGTAGAGAAAGATCTCACTGGACTTTAGCTGTCAATTTCGTTTGCTGTGAGACAGTGCTTACTAAGATAATGTCGTATATTTTGCTTATTTTGTCTGCACCACTATCCATTGTCCTCACATTATATATCTCTTTCGTTTGTACTGTTTTGGAATTCATTCAAATCTGTATTACATTTCCATATGAAAATATCAAAATAACGGAAAATGTCAAATAGTATGCCTTTCAGCAGAAAAGTAAAGAGTATCCGTTATTAAACTTGAACGCTTTCTGTTGCTTGCACTAGAAAAAAAGATCAATCAATAGAAATAAGTTGCAATATAAGAATGAATCTTTGAGCCCAAATACAGAGTCGAACAATGATTTTTCTAGTTCAGCTGACTGTAGATTAAAAGTGTAGTTGGTTTCGGACGAGCCAAGTAAGGTGAACTCAGCACTGTCTTCCCACCCTTATGTACTACTTTCAATGCTTGAGGCTTACTGATAAAATTTCACTTGTGCCATCACTCTCTAGTTGTAAATATGAGTGAACAACAGTTCACTTAAGTTTTCTGATACGACTTAATTTAGAAATACAAACAATTTATACTGAGCTCTTTTAGAATGAGATACATTTATAACGAGTCCCTTAATGTAAATGAAGTGTGAAGTGGACTTTTAACAACCACTGACTAAATATCGCTATAAAAAACGTTTTTAAACTTTTTATACCGTTTATAATTTCATATCCCTGTCTAAAAACTCTTGCTGAAAGTGCATTCATTTCTGAAAAATCAAAAAACGTGCTATAAAAGAACCTACAACTCCAATGTATCAGATTTATGATCAATAAGTGAAAAAATTTGTAGTATTTTCAGAAAAAATGCAACTGCTGCCATTGTTTCTGTATTTGACTCTGTCAAACAATTGTTAAATTATAAATAGTGTACAAAGTGTATAAGCATAAAGTTGTGTAAATTTATTTGAAAAAGAAAAAGAAGAAATGAAGAATGAAAGATTACCTGACTCTAGACGAAATATAAAGTTCTAGTCTAAAATATTTTTCTTTTATTTTAAAAAATTACATATCTACAAAGAAAAACGGAACTGATAATTATTGAACAAAAAATGAAACTAAATTGTTTTTCACTTTAATTTCTTAGTGAATGAACCGCCCATCTTTCAACATATCTTTGAAAATTTTTATTCTGCTAAAGGAAGAATATGTGATTAACATTGCATTATGATGTCAACAAAATAGTATTATCAAAGTCATCGTTTACATTATCTAGTAAGATTATATTTATTCTAGAAATCTTGTGTGCTTTTGAAGCTATAATATCTTTTTGTGAAGAACATAGAACACTATGTTTTTTAGGCACCCATTTCTTGAACAGTAGAAAGAATGACAATTGAGAATTATTATCAACACCTATTTAAGGAGAGAAAAGAGCACTGAACTGTACAATGATAGATGAATGAATTTGAGATTGAAATAAACTATAATCAACATAAAGTAAATAGATTTATCAGCAATAACAACTTTTAACATGATAAAATTTATTAAAAATAAACTAGTTTACGTTTTGAACAATAGATGCTCTTTATTTTTGTGAGATAAGAGATAAAATATTCTGAACAACTAAAGCATAAAATTCTGAAATTGTAAATAACAATACTGTACTCTCTAACCATGTATTTTTCATCTTCACTTTTAACTGTTCTTTCCAATTTAAATTTTGAGATTCTTAATAGAGAAATATTACTAGATCAATTGATCTCACAAGGGCATTTCGTGCTGATTTTCGAGCAATTATTACCGCAGAAGATAACTTTTTATAGTTAGAGAAATATTGTGAACAAACAGATTAACGACTGATATGTACAAAAACACTAAATAAACCATCAGATATTATCCAAAATAATATTAACATGTTTTGACTCTTAGAAACAGATGAGCGTTGGCTTTATCAAAACGTTATATATCGAATATCAATGTCAATAAAAAAAGGTAGATATATATAACCGTAATAGTTTCTTGAAGAGTATTTTCTCTCATTTGTTTTTTTCCTTGATCATTTGACAGGTGATTATATTAACGATAGTACAGATATATATATATATTAGTATATATATATATATATATACATATACTATTTCTCTTAATTGTTTTTGTCTATAGAATGTATTATGTTGTACAAGTTTTCTTTTTAGCAATAGAAAAGTAGCAGCAGTATTGACCGTATGCATTATTATACTAGAGGAGTCGATGTGTATTTGGATGAAAAAATAAACCACACGTACATATGTTGTCTATAGCATCTTGTATAGATCCATCTAGTTATACATGCGAATACTTTTCCTTGATTCTCCTTCTTCTTCATCGTTTTTTCTTCTCGTAGGATAATACTTCTCTTATAATTTTATACTAAGATATTATAGAAAAGAAGCCATGTTTTGATGTTTTTTCTTTTTTTTCTAAGACTTGGCGAACTCTCTCATTATTAATAAAGGTTCTTCTTTTTCTGATTTTTTTCTCTCTTTTTGTTCTATGATTTGACATGGTTAAAAGAATACAAATATAATATGTATATTATCGCGTTGTATTTTAACTAGGCTTTTATCTTAACAGGACAAGTTCTTCTTCTTCATTTGTGTTGTGCTCTATTGTCAACACCATCATCTCCGTTTCTTCAAGCAAAACGTGTGTTTGAAAAAATTTAATTAAAATGCAAAAAAAGACTATTTGTGCATTTTTTTTTCTTATTTAAACTTAGAAAGTCAAATTTTTCTCTTCTTTCTCTTCTAATAACATATGGTTAAGGAACAAAAAGAGAGAAGAAAAAAAAAACGAAATTCATATGATATATTCAAATAAATAATTATTATTAGAAACGTTACTGCAAAAAACATATTTCTGACCGAACAACTTGTCGATTTATACTACACTATTTTCGTTTTATATATTGTATTTTTTTTTTTATCTTTAAAACTATTAAATGGTAAAATTTTTAATATGAAGGTGAGTTACATCTTTTTTTTTTATTGTGTTGTTGCTGCTTCTGTATTTTTACTTTTATTTATTTCTCTTTTCTCTTTATCGAGTTAAAAGTTTAGATAAAAATTATGCTTGTCCATTCACTTCATCACATAAAGAAGAAAACCCTACAGCATTCTTTCAAATTATAAAATATTTTATCTATCTATTGAAATAAGATCCTAAATACTTACTACTTCTCGGATTCGTTTTTTCTCTTCTTTCAACGTTCAGTAGATTTCTTAAAAAAATTGTTTGTTATAAGATCGATGCAACAGTTTCTAATACATTGATAGATTCTTATTTTTGCTAAGCTTTTCACTACATTATTTATTTGAAAAACAATATAGTTCAATAAAATATTTTCAATAGGTTTAGATCAGTTGCATTAAATAGTACTGTTGAAAGATCTTCAAAAACAAAAAAATTTTAGCTATTAGTTACATGTGATCGTCCTTCCTATAAGAACTGTAGTTCGTATTTTGCAATTTTGAAACTAAAAAACAAAATTTAAATAACAGTTAATAAATTAAATAATACGAGACAAATTATTGTGTCTCGATAAATTCTTTCTTAACGACACTATTTACGCTTATGGTTCCTTGAACTTTATGTGCGTGATGTGAAGAAGAAGCGTCCTATCTTTGAATGTAGCTGTGTAGATAGAGAGATGAACTCTATGGATTCTTCAGTTATTCCAATTTTTATTCAAATTTTATTTCTATAGATGCACATTCTACATATTGTTTTTTTCAATACAAAATCTTCTAGTTTTAAAATTCAAAGGCTTTTTGCGTGGTAATCAAACAATTTTCATGTTTTATTAAATTTTTAGAATAACTGACGAGGTTTTTCTCGTTCAAGTAAGAAAAAAAAAATGAAGATACAATTCATATATTGACAAATAACTGCGATGCCTCGAGATGAATTTTAAAATACGTTTGTGTTTTCTTTGATCTTGCAGTATACATGATCAAAATTAAATCAAAACTAACAAATACTGATATGTTTACAGTTGTATTGAACCTATAAATGTGTACTAGTTATGTATTTCAAAAATATTACAACATTTTTCCCATGCTTAAATATATTGCCATGTTCTGTATATCTTACTCCGAGATAGAATGAATCTATGCAGATACTGTTTATTTTCTTGTTCTTCTATTAGCTTCGATTCTAACCGTTTTATATTATATAGATGATTCATAGAGCAGAGTAAAAAGACGGATACATATTTATTTTGGACTTACTTTATTTGTTAGTTTTTTAACAACAAATGAAGTCGTTTGTGAGGAAAAAAACTGATATATTTTTTTTTTGGCATTCGAATGATTTCAGGGATATATAATTATCTTTTAATTCGTTTTTATTTGTCATCATCCTATTTACCAACTTTCAACAAAATTATGTTTAGGCTCTTTTTTTTCATCTGTACTCTGATGATGATGATGAAATATGCTATATCTATAAGGCTTCTTCAATTGACTCAATAAATTCCTTTATATGCAGTGCATCCTTTTTATTTATAAATATACATGTGAAACAGATCGTTTGTTTATTATGAAAAAAAATAGATTTCTCTTGGGACAATTTGTTCAAAGACTACCTAAAATTTACCGATGATCGTTGTTTCATCTTTATTGAATAAAAGGGAAGCGAGGACAATAAGTAGAAATAAGGTGGGTTGTTATTACAAATATCGAGGGGAGAGCATAGGTCTTTGTTCATGGTAAAAGGATAATGAAAGAAATTCAGCCAGATGGAAAGAGAATCATATTTTATTTAAAAAGTAATTGAAATTAGTTTCTTGTAAAGAACAGACGTCATATTCTTGCACAAAGAAAATAAGTCGTTTTATAATAGTGTTGTTAATATGAAAAATAGTAATTCCCATTACTAGTCTAGAATGGTAACAAGTATTAATTTCTGTAGCCCGATATCTTCCCTACAACTAATAAGCTTCTGGCATGACACTAGTCATCAACTGCAGTTTCGAGACACTAAGACATAAGTAATTTGACAGTGTCGAGCTTCGAACTCAAATATCTTTGAAGTACGTAACAAACAACACAATCACATAGCTATAGATTATGCTGTCTAGCGTCGAAGATGGATCATTTCTAATACTTGATCTTCCAAATCTGTATATGTAAAGGCTGTCTTAAAATGAATTTCTAACTAATTCAAAGAATGAAGTAGTTCAAAATTGTCAAACATGACAGACACATAGTCAAACAATCTATTGTAATCATGCTCCTTGTAAGAGTATTTTTTATGTTATTTTTTAAAACTGCACATAATTGTATAAATGATAGTTTTTTGCTACTGTAGGGCAAACCACCCATAATTCTAACGGACGATGTATTGGTATTGAAAGTAATTAAGTTTCATATTCACTATTCTCCTATGTTTACCTTCAATGGTTGTATTTCATGTAATACACCGTCCAGTTAATGTTAATTCATTGAGTAATAATCACGCCAGTATCCATTCAAAATATTTCATGCCACGTTATCATTATTCAAAAGTAACATCATCCGATTCTCCAAACGGATCTCTATCGTTAGATGATAGAAATGGTTTTTCATTAAATGGAAATAATACCAATAGCATAACAAGCACAAAATCATTCATACCGCTTGTTACAAATAAAGTATTTCCAAAAACAAACAATGCAAATAGCTCAAGTTCGAAAAGTGATTATATACAAATTCCTGTTATAAGAGAAGAAACAAAAGAGAAGCAACTGCCAACTAACAACACTACTATAACGTCATCTAACGAAAGAATCGTTCCAATTAGTTATTATGTTAGTGAAACAAGTATTCCGACAAATAATTATCCAAAAACATCAATAAGTAAGTATGAGATTGAAGATAAAATTATGCCTATTCTTATTTTTCGTTGTAGATTCACTTCGTTCACAAAATTGGCCAACGTCCAAATATTTCCACTACGACAGCAATTTCAAGGATAATAATGCTACGAAATCGATGGATGAAAATAAATTTCCATTAGTTGTGACAAAACCATCATTAACAAATAATCGTCATTTAAGTTTATCCGATGCATTAAACGAAACTGACTCAACAACATCTCCAACCACCCCTAACGGTAATCGTCATCCAATCTTAGTACCAAATATTCGTTTGAATATCCCCGTTATGTCAGATCTTAATTCATTAACAAACAGTTTGAATAATTTGCCAACGGAGACCACCGTTCTCTCATCATCGAAACAGATACCATTGCGGCTGCCATCTACAACAACATCAATCGCACCATCAATACCGAGTTCTTCAACATCACGTATATCAAGTGCAATTTTAAAAACAGCTAATTCACCTCCACTAACACGACAAAAAACAGATTTAGAACGAACAACACTATTTCCATGGATGGATACAACACCAGTTATTGCACCACGTCGAACAGAGCGAGCAGAAGTGATGGCTCGTGAAGCAATACAAGGCATTAATCGTTTTCAAATTGGACGATCAAATTTAGAGAACACGCGATCACCAGCACTATCACGTCGTGTCATAATTAATCTTAAAAACAATCAGTCTGTTGTACTCGATAGTCGTTTATCATCGGCTATCGCTCAACATGGTGGAATAGGTAATAGACCACCGCTAAATAAACAACAAAAATTAACACGATTACTATCAGATTCTGAACTACATGACGGTGCCAGAACTGAAAAACAGTCCATAACGACAATGAACAATGTATTTCATATACCTGTCTTACGTGAAATTCAAACGTCATCACCTGACAATAGAATTCGACGACCATTTAGTGCTGCTCAAATGAATTATAAAAATGAATTTCGTCTACAATTACCAGTAACAATATTGAATAATCACGAAAACTCGATTAATAATCGAGAAAATGATTTGAATATTGACGAAAATGAAAATATTTTAATAAATACTGAACAACGATCTCGTTCAGCTCGACATTCGTTAACTGATTGTTTTAATGATATGCCATCGACAGCAGCGACATCATCATCCAATCAGCTAAAATCGATTCTGAAACGATCATCTTCAAGAGACGCTGTATCACGAAAAAGTGTCAGTTTTATGACATAAATATGGCTATGTATATGTCGGGTTAACCTTAAATCGAGTCAGTACAGGAGTAGAAGGTGATAGTCTTTCTACATTCAACAGGTTTTACACTATTTTTTATTTACATACCTGACAATAAAAAAAATACTGTATACTGATAAGATTTTTGTTAAATTTTAGTAAAAAAGAATTATATGAAGAGTTTTGCATTTAAAAAATGGAAAACAGAACTTAGATATTTCTACAATAAATAAAAGTAAAGTAAACAAAAGAACGAGTGGGTTCCACTAGCAATATTGTAGTGGACTTGATTAATGTGTGAGAGTGATACCTTTCTCGAATTAGTTTTGTGATGTTTTTTGTCAGAAATACATAGTAAGCAATAGATTTTCGTTTTTTTGACAAGTAATAACAACAAATACAAAGAATAATTAGTTTAAAAAAACAAAAATAAGGATATAGATGCAAGTATAGGACTACAATATGCAGCAAATTATTTATCTATATATGTACAATTAATCACGGTTATAAACACGCCTAAAAGAAAGATAATAGATGATTTTATTTTTAATTGTGACTTGTAGCTAATTGCAATTTTGTCGATGGTGTCATATTTCCTTTACAGTAATACATTTTATGTGCCTCGTACGAAGTTTTTAAACGAAACGGAATATTACAGATCTTACAAAACGTATTCGAATTATCCATTTTTGATGATATATTTTGTGAAATGGTAGACGATGGCGTATGTTTCATTATGTTTTGTTCCCTTGGTGGTAGAGGTACTGGTCGTTTTGTTAATATATGTTCATTATGTGTTAATTTCTTGGATTGTTCAGTTTTTGAAGAGTTTCGTCGTGCTAGACAATAATCTGATTGATGTCTTTTCAATGTTTCATGATCAGAAAATTCGATATTACAATATTGACAAGCATATTTTCGTGAATGATGATAAGTTGGATCAATGGATTCATGTTTCATTTTTTTTATTAAAACAGATTCAAATATCGGTTTAGACGATTCGGAAACAATACTTCGGACACTATTAGTATTTGATAATAAATTGGAATCAGATATATTTTTGGATGTTTCAATTGAAGATATTAGCGTAGACTTTTGTTTAACATCATCAGTTTTCTTGTTTAATTGAGGTGACTTTAATGTAGACTTTTGAACGACATACTCTCCGCGTATCGAAGATTGATGTAGATCATTGAAATGCCTATAAAACAAATATTTTACAAATTGATAATAACAAATATTTATCTCTTCTTACTCGGTTGTACTCGATATTTGTTGTTCCATATTATTGAATTCGTTATTATTGTCATCGATTTGCATTCCCACATCAATCGACAAATAGGAGTCATTTGAATCATCATCATCCGTACCGTTTTCATGTGACCCTGATTTTATATTTGTATGTTGTATTCTCATATGTCTAAGTAAATTCCATCTTGATGAAAAACGTGATAAACATTCCATACACTCCATTTCAATTTCATTCATGTGAGTTTTTAAATGTATCATTAATATTTCATCTGTTTCAAACATTGCTGAACATATTAAACACCTAAGTAAATCAGTAGTTCTTAATTTTGTTGTTTCTCGAATAAAATTCGAATTTTGTTGATGGTTACCACTATTACTACTACCATAAGTTAGAATATCATCATCTGAACATTGTTGACCATTAGCCAAATGATATTTAAAATGCATTCTCATACCACGAATTGTATTACCACGATAACGACATAAACGACATATAAACGGCGATAAACGTTGATAATTAGTAATCGTTTCTTCATTCTCTTTCATTTTCGGCATTGGTTCATCGATACGTTTTAAACATTCGTGAGAAGATAATTCTAGAGCATTTAGAAATATTTTTGAACAATTTAAACATGTGAAACTTGTCATTGTTGATGATAAATTACGTTGGTTTGATGATTGTTCAGTTGGAAATAAATTTGAAGTTGAATCAGATGATGCCATAGCTTTTTTTAATTCAGCACAATAACTAAATTGAAAGAAAATACAAACTCATTATATTGAAGTTTTGTGACCAGCATTCATCTGATCAATCATAAAAGATAGCGAGTTTCATGCATATTTGCAGATGAATAAATTCTCTTCTTAAACTGTACTTCCGATAATTCCACTTAGCAATCATTTCTTCCTCACGAGTATTGTTAATAACCTACTTTTCTTGGTGTGCACGAAGATTTTTTAATGAACTAAATCTTATTGTACAAAATTCACATTCAAATTTTTGTAATACAGTTGTTGGTGATAGTAGTTGATTATTCGTTGATTGCGAATTAAGTATTCGAATGAGAGTTTTCGGTGTTTTACAAGATAAATCTAATGGATTCGATGGTGACAAAGAGGAAGTTGATGATGATGAACTTGTTGGTGACTGTAAACGTCTTAACTGTGTTTCATTTAGATTTTCAATGTCAGTTAATGTATTCGATACTGAATGTGTTTTTATTTGTTTCGGATAACTTAAATCAAGTGGTTTATCGTTTGTTGAATCATGTGATGGCGATGAAGGTGTTGATGATGTCGAATGATGTAATAATTTACTGTCAACTGGTACTGGAATGTAGATCAAATTACCTACTTGTATTGGTCGATCAAATGGAATGTTTGAAGGAATGGGGGGTCTAAGAGGAATTGTTGATAATATATCATTCATGATGGACTACAAAAAAAAGAATATGTCAGGTGTTTCCTAAATGAATCGTGTCCACTAACCACCTACTTTAGAATCATGTATTGTCAATGGTGGTGATTGTCGATGAGCTGATTTGATTTGATGATGATGATTTTTTCTAGTTGTGTTGGTTTGACAATAATGCAGTTTATGTTGAACTAGATTATCCGGTTTCAAAAATAATATATCACATTCGTGACAGTATGTTTTACAATTATTCGATTCTATATCATTAATACCATCGATTGATTTTGATTTAGTAACAACGTTTGATTCACCTGTACGATTCCGTTTATATGTATAAGCAGTTATCGTATCGGGACTTTTACGTTTCAAACTTAATCGATTGACCTTATCTTTTAGTTCACAATCAGAACCCGATTTTTGAAAGTTTGTGTCAGTTACTTCATTATTCAGTGTTATTCGTCTTGTACAATAGTGTAATCGATGTGCCTCTAATGTTCCACGATTTGAATATCGAATACCGCAATCTTCACAGGCAAAGACCAATGCTAAAGTAATGATAGACATCTTATAATTCTTTCATCGAAACAAATCAGAGATAATACATACGATAGAGTTTCTTTCCTGATGTTTTATCTATCATTAACTCATGCTGTTGTTGTTGCTGTTTTGGTACATCAGTTGTAATTTTTGGCTTCTGTAATTCACATTCAACCGATTCTTGTTTAAAATCCGAAACAACCGTTGGTTCTTCACATATTGAAATTGCTTCAGTTTTATTAGTGTCATTGCCTAATGAATATTGGTCGTTAAAAATTGCGCTTATGACTGTTCCAGTTTTAATTACATTTATCACTTTTCCAAACAAATTTTTATCTAATATAAAATTCAAAGTTTTATGAAATACAAAACTAAAGCATTAGATCATAAATTACTTTCATAAAAAATATCGAGATTTGAACTATCGAGATTTTTTGTACAACAATGAGATAGCCATCCATTAGTTGGTTCGGACAATTCGAAAATATGACCATCGCCTGTTTTGTCATGAATCTAGAATACAAATAGGAAGACATTTGATACGATCTTTAGTAGTTTTTACACAGTTCGTTTTTTTATTTTTATGTTAATGCACCAATTCAATTTTATGTTAATAGCATCAATTCTTGATTAAGTCTGATATTGGTTACAGGGTGGCCCATAAAAAACTTACCGAATGGGATTAATAACAATGAATACAGCTTTAGAATGTGATATTTATGGTAATGTAAACTAGACGCATGCTCTCGGATCAAGTATGATGAACGAAATTGGAGGCAGTGGGAATTTTACAAGAAATGTAGTATGACACGAAGAAAAGCCGATTTATATTTGTAACTGCAATTCTATCCTTTTTTGTTTAGTACATATCTGTCTTCATAGCACCATCGACAATCAACGGTGAAAAGATATCGGCCTTCGTACCAATGGTATGTAGAACGATCAGAATGACAACGTACAGGGTGACCCATAAAAAAACGTATCCCTTTTTGTAATGGTCTTTCTCAAGCCTTAAAATTCAATTTTTGATCCGATTCTTTTTGCGATAGAAAGAGCTGAAAAAAAGCTGCTCAGTAGAACTGATTATATTTTTGAAAAGATTCCACCATAAGCAGATGCTAAAAAAGATTTATTAAATATGAAATCTATGCTGGAACGGCACATCTTCACCAGGAAGTAAAAAAAGAGCTGTAAGACAACCGCTGTTGGCTTGAAGTTTGTTGTGGTTTTCGAGTTCCTAATATTTTGTTAATGCAGAAAAGAGTTCCGCATAATTTCTTGGTTATTTTTTAAAGATCTTTTTTTCACACGATCTTTTAAGCTTAATACTAGTTGGTATTATATATCTCTTCATTAGACTTTATCTTATTTCTTATTAAGAAAGCAAATTTTATCAATCGTTTAGGCATATTTTTGTAGCCATTTAAAAGCTCTATCTACTGAATATAATCGATCGTGATTAAAGCTAATTCAAGTGGTAAAATAGTGAAATTCATACCACACACCTCTTTATGCAAAATATGGAATACTGTTGTTGTATGAACGTTTCTATAATAGTATCAATAATTCCAAATGATTTATATGTTATCTAAACTATAAACACTTATGAGTACATTCCGAGAATTTGCAGTCAAAATAGTGTTTCATCGTTGAGTTATTGAATCTTTATAGAAAAGTTGAAAAACAGCAAAGTTCATTTTGTTTCAGTACAGATTTCATATTTAATAAATCTTTTTTAGCATCTGCTTATGGTGGAATCTTTTCAAAAATATAACCAGTTCTACTGAGCAGCTTTTTTTCAGCTCTTTCTATCGCAAAAAGAATTGGATCAAAAATTGAATTATAAGGCTATAGAAAGACCATTACAAAAAAGGAGTCAGTTTTTTATGGGCCATTGTGTATTAACTTTTTCTGTAATCTTATGGTGAGTCATTGTTTGACATTCAAACAAAACTTTTAGCAAACTTTTTATAGAAAACTGAAACTAACTGCGCACTATATTTTGCTCATAGTGGTAGAGTAGCGTGTTTAATTATTTCTTAAATTTGTTGACTATTAAATGTTCGATGCTCGAGTAAAATTCTTCATGAATTTTGAATGCTTTTAATCATCATTCTACGATAGTCCATTTAAATTTGAAGAGTTGTGGATATTCGTTTATCAAACTCTAGCAAACAAAATCTGATTAAAAGATCATGTGTGAGAATAACAACTTATCAACACACACACACCATACAATGATAAAATTCTATCAGTTTATATTTGCGTAATGTTCTCTTTTTTTTATTTTTTATGGCGATTGCAGATATATGAGAAAAAAAACTTTGTGTTAAGATAACCATACACACATTTTTGATTATAGTCTGTATAATCATATCACCAAAAATATTTTTCATTCATATTCTTATCACAACTAATCTTTCTCAGATTTCTTTCTGTTTTCGGTACATATAGGCACATAGTTTTAGAAATAAAGCAAACGTGCCACTAGTATGCTTATCAGTAGTCTTTCAGTAATATGAAGATAAGAATAAAAAGAGCACTATAAGCAAGCATTTATTTAAAAAAAAAAAGAGAAATCCTTTTTTATCAGAAGAGAGAGAAATGTGTAGAGTTGAGAAAAACTTTGATGTAAATCAAAATATGATAAGTTTTATTGGTTAGCAGATCTAACATAGCATAAAAAAAGGATTTTTTAAGACTTCATTGCCATTTTAAAGATAATAGAAAAGATAGACTATAAAATTGAATGCCAAAGAAAAGTCCTAGCATGCGTATCAGAATTTTGAATGAAACTCAATAGGTCCAGAAGCAATGGATTTTTTTTTTAAAGAAAAACTCTAATACATACCGTTACAGTTATACCATTTAATAGTGCATTTTGTTCGTTTTTTACTTCTGAACATTGAAATGGACCAAATAGATGATTTTTCTCAATGTCTGTATTCGCTAAGATAATGACAGAGCTGGTAGACTAAAAGAAAATGGATACGTTTTCTTTTTTTGTATAAGAAAAACTTGATACATTTTATCAACATTTAAAGAGATTGACTTAACGATATATTTAAAAATGCTACCATTTATAATTTATCTGAAATCTCCTACAGGACCAAAAAATTTCTTAATGAAAAAACGTTCTCAATGCATTAACTTCCAAGATTAATTTATGATACAATATGAACTGTTTCTAGTATTATTTTTTATTTTTTCGACTGTTACCTACTTGATCATATTTTAACTCTTCCGGTAACGTATATCTTTTTAATGATGAATCTTCACTTGTGATAATGTTGTCAGATAAATTATGTATTTCTTCCTGTTCAATTTCTACTACTTTTTCCTTATTTTCACCCAAACTAATTTCGCTGTTATCATTTCCGATTTGATCATCGCCATTGATACTTTCGTCATTTTCTTTTGCATCCAAACCATTACCTTAAATAAAGAAAGGTGTCAACAATTTATGATTGATATGAATCATAACAGAATATACCTTTGATTGGTCTTGGATGCAATTGCTTTCGTCTTGACATACTATATTTAGATGTTCGAATCATTTATCCATTTCAATCTAAAAATAATAAGGAGAATAAATGATATTTCCAAATTTTGTAAAAATCAAATATTAAGATGATTCTGTTTGACGTCTAGTGTAATCGCATCGTGCAAGTCTTTAACTCTACAACAAAATTTTTGAACACAAAAATTTTGCAACCACTTCGTGATAAAATAAGCTATTGTCTGGTACTTTTGTTAGTGGAGACAATAACATAAAGAAAAAATTCACTTTGTCCCAACTAGTTTTTAACTAAAAGAGAGGTTTATTCAGAGATGTTTAAAAAAGATACAGATGACGCACTTTTAAATAAACTTACGAATGTTTACATGACAAATGGTAGTAGAATAAGATAAAATGTGGATATTAAAGACTATTTTATTCGGTAGTAATCGTAATTAGTTTATTGCTAATTTCTTTCTTATTCGATATAGTTATTAGAAGAGATGAGAGAAAAGAAAAAAATCAAAAGACAACTGACCATTTGGAAAACTATCCGCTTAAAGACTATCTTAAAAAATAATATGAGAGAAGAAATATTAATATATGAGCAATTTATATTTTTAATACACTCTTTATTCGATCCGAGATCTTAATCTTAATCTTTGTTCATTTATATATTTTTTTTTCGTTTGGTAACTCATCACCATTGAGCGGTAGAGAGATAAATTTTTACTTTTTTACTTCTAGATTTCGGTCAATTTTCTCCTCGTCATCTTTTAACTCTTATTTATTATATGAAAGATAATATTTAGATTTTGACGGTGTGATGGGTAAAGACTCTCTTTCTCTCTCTCTCTCTCTCTCTCTCTCTCTCTCTGTGTATATGTATATATATATATATATATGCTTGTATTGAGAAAAAGATTGCCACAGAGAAGATAGAGAGATATAGATAAGTGATGATGATAAGAACGGGATGGATGAATCAACTTTTTCTTTTTTCATGAGAGTATGCGCTAGGGATATAAGTTGCAAAGATATGAAATGTCGATAGGAGTATGGTAGTAAACAGAAAAGCTTTTGTAAAAAACTATCATTACGTACAATGTGTATAAATATCCATATCACCATCATATTCATTCTAGATAAAGGGACGGGAGAGTATACCATAAATAACATACGCTGGTAATGTCTTATCAGTATCATCCTCCATGCACACGTGGCATATACAAAATTATAACCATCACAAGCAAAAAAAACGGCAACACTAAATATACTGATAAGATGATAAGGCAAACAAAAACCTCCTCTAACAAAGCGAGAGAGAGAGAGAGAGAGAAATCTACGCAATAAAATATAAAAAAATGATAGATATATTTTTCTTTAACTTTTTTTGATTATGTTTGTTACAGATGTGAAAATTTTTCACATACAAATCACATATCGAAGAATGAGTCAAATGATAATTTTTGTAAATAGTCATAAATTGTAGAGAGACAAAAAATATAATCAGATCTAAAACTTGTCGCTCTTCATTAAAAACTTTCAAATATCACTTACTCATTTCGGATTGTCATCATTATCTCACTTTTTCTACGTCATCTCAGTGTTTTGATTCTTAGACAATCTTTGACATGTTTCTGTTCTTCTCAAGCAGCAATATATATCATCGACTGTTTAGTTCTAAAAATTTTGTATTCATAATCTGGAAAGAAAATTCAATGTGGCAGTTTCACGATTGCGGCATGAGCACTATCTGTTTCCGTTAAAAAGTAGAAGTCTATTTCAAAACATTCGTTTTTGCTCGTAGGCCGATTAGCATTTTTTTACTAAACTACTAACTATTATTTACTAACTATTTTTTCCATGATGGTGGCTAACACCTTCTAAATGTATTACGTTTTACGATATTTTATAAGTCAGATTCAAAAAATGTCTACTCTACCTTTCTGTTCATTAAAACGTTTTTAAGTAGCGCATGACTGATGTTTCTTAGGCAATTTCCTTCTTTTCTTTTTCCTATCAATCATCAAATAAATTATACGTCTACATACATGTTATGCGCACTACTACTACCATACGTTTTATTTTATTATAGTAATAATATTAAAATTACCCTGATAGATGTTAGATTTAGATTTCTAAATTAATGGACTAAAAAGTAGTTACCGAAATATATTTTGAGAAGAAGAGACATTTTTTTTACCATGTTGATAGACATTTCAGAAATAATCATCAGATAGCATCAACGTAATTCTATCGATAAACGATGTATAAGGCAATTAATTTTTTTTCTTTGCGTAAAATGGTTATGTTATTTGTATAAATGAAATTATGTTTCTTTCAATCGAATAAATACTTGTGTAGTACTCGGGATTTATTAATAAATGTATAAAATTACAATGATTCTCATCTACTTTTTGTTATTGTAGATAAAAGGTGCATAAAAAGAACATCCGACGATAAGAATTGAATTCTATCATGATGATGTAACAATAGCAACAACAACTAGGGGAAACCAAATGATATGAAAATATAACGCAGCTTAGGGTCTGTGATTAGAATGGGTTAAATCAAAATTCAAATCTCTCTCTCTCTCTCTCTCTATGTATATATATATATATATATACATATATATGATATACGTGCGGTGGTGTGTTTTTAAACTAAAAAAAAAGTGAAAATGTAATGAGCTCCGTCTTTGCTTGAGAGATAACGAAAAATATGTACATATAATATACAATATACTTTATGTGAAAGATAAAGCGGACACTATATTCTCTCTTTCTCTCTCTATCGGATATGTACATATATATAACGAATTAAACGGATGAACTTGTTCCACATGGTGAGATATATCTTGGATTAACGTTGTTATTTCACAACCATAAGGAGAATCGCTATCTATCATGATCGTAAAGGTACACGTCGATAGAGAATAAAGACATATTTTTAAAAACTTTACCTTACAATTAAATAGATTGTGTCGTTCCAGCTCACTGGAACATACTGTGTTTGGATGAAGACATACATAAGTATAATCGGTTTTTTCGTAAATATGTGAAAACTGATTTCCTGATATGATTATTTTATCATAGTGGAACCTCTTTGGTCTATATTGTCAAAAGAGTGATCACATGCTGAGATCAACGAGAAAAAAATACGAACGAACGAACAAACGAACGCGTTTCGAATATTGTATTTATCTTATCATTTAATCAATCAATCAATCGTTGTATACGTACACAGAAAGAAAAAGAAAGAGAGAAATTTCTTTTTTTTTTAACTTTATCTCAAGATGAATAGATTTGGCGTCATCGTCGTATTCATTGGGATTTTATTTTAACCTCTCAATCTATGTATATTTCACATCTCTCTCCGTGTATGAGTGAAAGATAGATTAGACAAAAGATTAAACTAAAGATTAAACCAAAAGATTAAACCAAAAAAAGTTATCTTAAAAGTATATCTATTCAATTACTGTCATGAAAGACTGAAAACAAATTGAGGTTTTAATATACAAAGCAATTTCTTACACTTCATCCAGTTGAAAACTGTCTCTCAAAACTTTACCTGTGTGTACACGCTGATTTCAAAAAAAAAAAATGTTGTCTAGTATTTTATCAAACCAACATAAAAATCGACCTACCAATTAATTTGAATTTTTTTGAGTATTTTAAAGTTTTTCTCTTGTTAGTTTTCTTATCAATTTTGTAATCGTATAACAGCAGCAACATTTTGATGTGATAGACAGAGGCAAAAGTCTAAAATCGAAGAAAAAAAAAAGAAATGCTCTGCTTTGCGTAACATAATCACATCTTTATGAGAAAAAAAATTCTCTTATCAAATAAACGATACCAATGGCGATTTGTAGGAACATTCACCGACTACTTTAAGTTAGGAAAGAATTCATCGTTTGTTATACAATGGAGTTTTTGTCAAAATCAGACGATGATCACTGGAAAAGTGCGTTTGTCCCACATAATTGGATGATAGATAAAAAATCATGAAGCTAAAATGAATTCCTGGAATTTTTGTCGTAGATTTGAACTGATGTAATATTATTTTGATAAATTTTGTTAATATTGATTCTTTATTCAAATATTTTCTTGTCATTATATTAATTCAATTTTTCTCTGCCCATTAGATAGACAAAAACTTAAGAAACTTTGTAAGATTTTCAACGATCAAAACTTTTTTTTACTTCTCTACTCGTCAATATTTATCTGTGTACCTTAACATGTTTAACCTGAGCGTACATAGTCGATTTTATGGTGAATTATCAATTGTAGTTTTTTGTATCAAAAGAGCATTTCAGCTCACTCTTCAACGTTGATTTTGTGACACAGGACAACACTCTGAATAAAAAATATTTAGTTTTAGTTCAAATATGATTTTCAACACTTGATAATATTTTTTTCTCATAAAACTGTCAGAAGATTGTTAAACTTTATATTGTTTTTTTGATTATCTAGGTGGAAATGACTTAGCACAACGCGAGGTAAATTTTCTTGAATTTTTGTTAAATATATATATACGCCCTGGTTCACATGAGTACGAGAAAATATAAATATATGACAGTAGAGGGGGTGAAATGAGTGTGGCAACGATTGTTTTAGAAAAACAGAATGTAAATTAATTTCTTTTGAATTTCATTCTGAATTAATTTAAATTGAATTAATACTAAAGATAAATATTGAAAAATCTTTTCGGTATTTATACATAGAATTTTCTACTTTCATCTACTTTTTCATGTGGGTATCAAAAGTGAGTGAGAGTAATTTGAGAACGATTGGATGTTGAACCCTCATTTTTCTATAGTTCCTCAAATGTATGTTGGTTAACAAAGAGAAACAAACGAATCAAAAATAAGAAACATATAACAATTATATGACAAATTCAAAGAAATCAATCCTTCAAGTTGTGAGAGCCGCTCAGCATCCGGTTCCCACGTTTTCTTAGATTCCAAATCTGTAGAATTATCGCCCCACTGTCGCCTCGGTATCACAGATTTTTATTTTACATATAAATTGT